CAGGGCTGGCAGCAGTAGGGGGACGTGGCCAGGATGGACCCCCCTAGCCCCATGGGGCCCAGCTGCAATGGGGTCAGGGTGTTGAGGTGGGTGTCATCTCCTCTTGGAAAGACGAGTTTCCTCTTAGGCACCTTATTCATGACCATGACCTTGACATTAAGGGCTTTGCCTGCTGCTGCCCTCCTCCCTCCTGGCCTCGATGGGTGGTATGGGTGGTGTGGAGGGTGGGTGGCGCCCTAGGCCTCAGGCCCTGATGTGCCGAACCCCCCAGGCTGGCTGCATGCTGTTTCCCCACATCTCCCCCTGTGAGGTGCGCGTGCTCATGCTGCTGTACTCGTCCAAGAAGAAGATCTTCATGGGCCTTATCCCCTACGACCAGAGCGGCTTTGTCAATGCCATCCGGCAGGTCATCACCACCCGCAAGCAGGTGAGCCAGCGGAGTGCAGCCCGTGCCCGCTGGGGCCAGGGAGGAGATGGACCTGAGCCAGCCTCCTGCACCCTGGTGGTGGGCAGAGCGTGATGTGACGGCAAGAGCCAGGAGCAGCCAGGGGGCTGCAAAGGGCAGGGGCTGGTTCCCGCCAGGGCTGGGGGGAGAAGTGCCCTCCCAGGGAGCTTGGAAGGGCTGGAGGGAGGACAGAGGGTATGTCCCCGCAGCAGGGGAGCCATGGAGCTGGGAGGTAGGTGATGAGCAGGTGCCGGGTTGGGAGGGCTGGTGTGAGGCTGCAAGGTGACCCCGTGTCCTGGCCATGCCTTGCCAGGTGATGGTGCCCCTGTTCTTAGGCATCCCCCAGCTTGTACCACAAGTTACGTGGCTGCCCGTTGTTCAAGGCCGACTCTGCGGCTCTGCAGCAGGGGCGGGGCTGGGACTTGTCTTGGGACACTGGGGGACCATGGTGAACAGGGGAGGGGCAGGGCCGGCTCCCTGGGTGGAGAAGTAGCGTGGCAGGGGCTGTGGGGATGGGTGGGAGGAAGTGACAGAGGCCCCTGGTCTGGACAGTGTGAGGTTTCCCTGGCCTCTCTGATCACCTGCCTTTCCTCCTGCAGGCGGTAGGACCCGGTGGTGTCAACGCGGGCCCCGTCCAGATCGTCAACAACAAGTTCCTGGCGTGGAGTGGAGTCATGGAGTGGCAGGAGGTAAGCCCGGGCACCTGGGACAGCTGTGTCCTCCCTGGCCCTGGGCTGGGCGGGGGTGCAGGGGTCTAGGCGCTGCACTCCTGAGGTCTCCTCCTTCCTCTCCCCAAAGCCCAGGCCTGAGCCCAACAGTCGGTCCAAGCGGTGGCTGCCGTCGCATGTCTATGTGAACCAGGGGGAGATCCTGTGAGTGCCGGGCTGGGGGCGGAGGTGGTGGAGGCTGCGTCGGAGTGTGATGGGGCCTCCTGACCCTCGTGCCCTCGTGCGCGCAGGAGGACCGAGCAGTGGCCAAGGAAGCTGTACATGCAGCTCATCCCACAGCAGCTGCTGGTGAGCAGAGCCAGAGGGGGTGGGCCGCAGGACACCTCCCCGTGGGGGGTGGCCCCGAGTTGGCAGCTGGGGGAGCAGCACAGAGCTGGCAGAGGGTGGGGGCACAGCCACGCTGGCGTCGGCCCATCGAGCAAGAGGAGTCAGCCCAGGGCTCCCGGGACCCCAGTTGGTCCCCGATCGGGACTGAGGGAGGCAGGCAGGGTGGCCGTTGTCTCGCAGAGTTAACATGGTGCGGCGCCCTGGACATAGGCGGCTGCCAAGCATGGGCAAGGCAGAGGGTTGGGAGTGGGACCCCAAGGGACTGGGCGCCCACACTCCTGGTGTGCCTGGAGGTGACGTGGAGGTGATGTTTCCCGAGGTGAGGAAGACAGCATGGTGGTGTGATGTGGACGGGAGGTCTGGTTCAGTCCTGGGGCCGGCAGGAGGCCCAGTGGGAGAATCAAGCCGGGGGTCCCCGCTTCCTTGCAGACCACCTTGGTGCCGCTGTTCCGGAACTCCCGCCTGGTGCAGTTTCACTTCACCAAGGACCTGGAGACGCTGAAGAGCCTGTGCCGGATCATGGACAATGGCTTTGTGAGTGGCCTGGCAGGCGCGGGAGGGCCGGAGTAGCCGGTCTGCTCCCGAGCGTGGGATGTGAAGGCCTGCAGTGCTGGTATCTGACTGCTTGGGAGTGATGGCGGCCCCTAGACAGGGTGTGTGCCATGGGTCCCCCCAGCTCCTCAAGGTTCAGTGCTGTCCTGACCCCACTGTACAGAGGGGGGCATTGACCCTGGTCTGCAGGTCCTGCCCCTCCACTGCCACGTTTGGGTTGATTCAGGGTCACAGCCCTGAGTACCAGGGGCAGGGTGCCCTTGTCACTCCAAGTTCTGTGATGGAGAGACTGAGACCTGAGAGCCTGTTGCTTCCGCAAGCCCCTTGCCAGGCAGGGAAGGCTGTCGGCCTCAGCCTGAAGCCCCAGAGCACCTGGCCATTAGCTTACCTGGGTCTTGAGCAAGTCCCCAGACCTGAGGCTGGGGGACTTCTCTCTCTGGCCCTGTTTCTCCAGCTGTGAGGAGGGTTAGGCGCCCTCATCCGTCCATGCCCACCTTCTGGCTGTTGGCCATACCCGGGTGACGTGTTTCAAAGTGAACAGTGTTTCCCTTCAAGTCATTCTATGTGGTGATATCCATGAACTTGTGCTGGGAGGGCCTGGTTGTGGGCTGCTTTCACACTAAAGCAGTTTCAAGAGTTTCAGAGCAGAGGTCCCGGGGCACCCAGAAAGGCTCCACACCAGAACCCGCTCTTGCTGGCAGGGCCGCCTTCCATCATGCACGCCCAGGCTGGAGCCGTGGCTTGCTTTGGTGGCTGTGGCTGGGCCTCACGGCATGACCGCAGGGGAGAGCTGGCACTGGCCTCAGCTGCTCGGAGTCTTGGCTTCTCTGGTAGAAAGGAGGAGGTGGTTGTGCAAGGTGGCGGCACCAACCTCAGTGCTCCCTGCCTGCTGCGGGCCGGGTGCAGCCTCAAACCCGTGCTCCGTCTCCGAGGGTGCCACCATCTCCTCAGGGCTGCCATGCAGATTCCTGGGCCCCGCAGTACAAGAGCCTGCTGGCCTCAGCCGTTCTTGCTCTTGGCCACCGTCTCCTTGGCCCCCAGACGGGGGATGCCACAGTGCTCACCCCCAAGGGCAAGACAGAGCAGCCGGGAGGCCCCTGGCCTGTGGTACGCTCTGTGGTGCCAGCCCAGGCCCGAGAGACACTGGCAGTGTGGTCTGAGACTTGTGCCGTGGAGGCGCGTCTGTGACGGGCACCTGTGCCTGCCAGGCCGGCTGTGTGCACTTTTCCTACAAGGCGTCGTGCGAGATCCGTGTGCTCATGCTCCTCTACTCCTCGGAGAAGAAGATCTTCATCGGCCTCATCCCCCACGACCAGAGCAACTTCGTCAACGGCATCCGGCGTGTCATTGCCAACCAGCAGCAGGTCCTGCAGCGGAACTTGGAGCAGGAGCAGCAGCAGCGAGGGGTAAGGCAGGCAGGCCTGGCGCTGCCTCCGCCCCTCCCACACATGCGGCCGCTGACGCCCCCTTGCTTCCTCTCCATAGATGGGCGGGTAGTGGCCAGGCCCAGGCTGGGCGCCTCCAGGAGCCGCAGACGAGGCCGCCGCAGAGACTGGTAAGTGGCCACCCTGGCAGATGCAGGAGGGACTTTGGGACAAGCCGGGGGCTCCAGCAGCAGGGTGACCCTGGTCCTGGGAAACTCCAGCCCCATCCCAGCAGGGAGGGGCCCTGGGGCAGAGGGAGGTGCAGGGTCCAGGCCTGGCCAGGGCAAGGGCTCTGCTCAGCCCTCTGGGGCCCGAAGCCCAGGCCTGGGTGTAGCAGACAGTGGGGCCTGTGCTGGGAGCCCTCAGCCAGCCCCTCCCACATCTCCCCTGCCCCCAGGCGAGATGCTTCTGAGCTGGGGCCCCTGGGACTGCAACTGCCCAGTGACATGGAGGACAGCGTCCTGAGGTCTCCAAGGACGGTCCCCACCCCTGTACGTTTCCCCAATAAAGTCTTTTAAAAATCTTCGTGCTGCCTCTGCTCACTGCTCTGAGGCCAGGCAGCTCCCAGCTGTGTGTATGTGTGCACGCGCACAGAGAGGCAGGGGAGGCCTCTCTGGTCTGAAATGCTGAGCCCCTCGACAGCAGTGGTTTCCCAATGGGGGGCTGAGTGTTGGCCAGGCCCAGCCCCCAACTCCCTCATTGAGCCCATCAGGTCAGGTTTGGGCATGTGTGTATCAGTTTCCAGGGGAGGCTGGGGCCGCCTGGGGGGACCACACTTTGGGTTACTGTCATGTGAGTTGGGAGGTGGAACGGGGACCAGCTGAGGTGATTCCCCTCTGGCAAGTTGTGGTGTCTTGGTGGGCTGTCATGACGGGCCTCTCCCTGTCTAGTCCCCGTGGTCCCTGTGCCTCTGAGTGCCCCTTCTTTCCCTTGGGACTGGGAGTCTGCAGGCCTCATTTAGCTGTGAGAGAAGGTGACCGGGGCCTTTTCTGCACCCTGTGACATGATGGCTCACACTGCAGGTCTGGCTGGCCCAGGCACTCACAGGTCCCAGGACAGGATCTGGCTGTTGGCTGCCCCCTCTCTCACAGGCTGGTCCAGGCTCACATGCCCTGGGTTCAAGGCCAGCGTTACAAGACCTGACCCCTCGAGGGACACGTGCCTGGTCTTGAACTGGGGCCTGGGTGGGGGCATGTGGGCTCGCTGGCTGGCTCTAGGGAGCCTGCAGGATCTGCCCCCAGGTTTCCCCACCTCCGTGGACAGTGTCACAGCAGGTCCCAGTGACGCCTGAATCCCTTCTGCAAGACCAGGTGGGCCGTGCGTGGCACCTGGGTCTGCCTCTAAAGTAGCTGGATCCTGACCTGGGAGGGGGAAGGGCAGGGGTTGGGGTCCACCTTTTGGGTGCCTGAAAATGTCTCTGAGGGCTGAATGAGAAACATACAGAGTGCCCTGTGTGCCAGGCATGGAGTGGCCTGGGACCCTCCTGCAGTGAGGACCCCTCATCCCAACAAGATGCCCCCAGGCTCCGGAAAAGCAGGTTTATTGTGGGCTTGGGCTCAGCCCTCTGAGAACTGGCGGTACAGCCGCTCGAGCCTCGGCTCCAGGCACAGCTGGAACGGGATCTCCAGGATGGCCGCGAAGCCTTCGGCCAGCGTGGGGGCCTCAAACTGCTTCCTGGGGGGATGGAAACGGTGAGGGGAGGACTGGCTGCACCTGCCTCGCCCCAAACCTGCCCGCAGAGGTACCTGTAGCCAAACATGACCACGTCGGACACGGGAGCGTGAGAGGAGTTTGTCATCTCGCGGAACTGTGGGGACATTGGGGAGGGCAGCAGGCCCAGAGTCAGGTGGGAGAGGGGTGGGGAGGGGCACAGCCCGTGGGGACATGAGGGGTGGCGGGTTTACCCGGTTGTTGTGGCGTGCCTGCTCCAGAGTGGCTGTGAAGAGGAAGCAGCGGCAGGGGACGCCTGCGGCCCTGGCACACTGGACGTACCTGCGGGGGACGGCACCGGCTGTCCACAGGCCCCGCCTACTCCCCAGTCCCCCAACCCTCCTAGGCCCCCCATGGGCCGGGTACCTGGCACGGCTCGGGGCGTCCGGGTTCGTGTTGTCGATCACAACGCGTTTCCTTTGCTTTAGGGCCGTCTCACACATGGCCACACAGCGCTGCCACGAGCCCAGCGTGTCCTGGGGACACAGGGAGAGGGGGTCACAAATGGGGCTGGGAGACCCAAGGGAGAGAAGACCCTGAGAGGGGACAAAGATGTAGCAGGGAGACAGGCAGTGACGGGAGGGAAGACATCCGAGACTAGCCGGGAACGGGCTGAACATGCACTTGGGGGCGG